TAGAGACAGCCACCAGTAATGGGGATGAGATAGCCATGTCTAAGATGGCTGACAGAGATGTTGATATGAATGCATGTATAAAAAACAGCTCCATGGGATTAGGTACTTACTGTGAGGTCAGTCTTGAAATGAATAGCCAGCCTGAGCTGAACAAAGTCATGGTAATAAATAGTCACAGACCTGATAAAGAATACATAAAGGATCCTGAATGTCAGGAATATAAAAATACCCCTTTGAAAGATATTGCTGATCAAGCAACTTGTAATGTCGGTAATGAATCAGACCAGCTTCAGACAGTATCACACCCACAGTTTGATGTCGACAGGCAATCAACAAGCCAGAATTATTCAGGAATGCAAATCATGGAGAATTTGAAACATGCCATAGATGGTGTTTCATGTGAAGCATTGATAGACAACTCCACCAGTGACACAGAAAATGTTATAAAGACACTTGCTGCGGCAGAACATCATGTGGCTGAGTTTCAGAAAGGGGATACTTTGAGAAGTGTCACTGTTGAACCTACACATCCTGTTACATCAAACAGTGCTACCTGTTGTCAGCAACAACAGGTGAACACTCCCAGAGATGTCATAGGCGCTGAATTAAGCAGAATAAGAAAACAGATGGAACAGCCAGTGCAAGATGAGTATTTCCAGAAAATGAGCACAAGTTGTCTTCAATCAAAAAGAACCTGTACTTTCTCCTCTGTGAAGTGTCCATGCTCAAGAAGTATACAATATTCAAAAATCAAACCCTTTGAGGATTATTCTCACTATGCTTTGGAACCAAAAAATCCTGCGTTTTGTGAAGGTGAATGTTTACATTCAGCAGCTGGAGGGAATGCATTCAGCTCTCATGGGAGAAAGCTACCTTGCAGAAAAACACCAAAACATGTTTTTGAGACACCTCATTTCCAGCCCACTCATTGTTGTGCAGCCTCCCTTGATACCTGCGGAGATGAATGTGCTGATTACTTGAAGTCTACGGAAGGTGAGCGGGGTCAAGATTTACCACATCCTGCAGAACATCAGTCACAAACAGAGCCTGCCGTAATGAGGTACTGTGTAAAGACTTCACATGCACCACCTTGTTCAGCTCAGCTGCGGTCAGATAAACTCCCATTACAACAACAGTTCATACAGTGTGATGCTGGTGTTTCACCCTGTTATCGTTGTCTTTCAGGTCACAGTCAGATACAGACAGAATGTTGCGTCTGAGGACATTCGACAGGATTCGATTAGGCCACATTTAATGTCGTATTCTCAGACTTGTTGCTCGTGCGTCAGGAGCAACTCAAGGAAAAGACACCACAGCATGTCTTCAGGTAGGAGCAGAAAACTCCATTCTGACCCAAATAAACACCAAACAGGCTCATGTACATCAGCTGAGTTATCTCTTAATCAAGAGAAAGTGATGGATGAGAGCTTGCATAGTGTTCATTCTTCTCTCCAACATACACAGAATGTGCATTCAACTCCCCAACATACACATAATGTGCATTCGTCTCCCCAACATACACAGATTGTTATTCAACTCCCCAACATACACATAATGTGCATTCAACTCCCCAACATACACAGAATGTGAGCTTCAACTCCTCAACCTAAACATAATGTGGGTTCAAACTCCACCAGTGAGGAGCACATGTTGAAAGCTGAAATTCTTCTCAGCTGTCTCATTAAGGAGATATCTCATGATGTTAGACGATCATCACAAGATGCCATCAGCAGGCAACAGTATTCTCAACCAGAGACAGGTAACAATGGTTTCTCTTCATTGCAGGAATCTTCCCGTTATGATGCTAATGTTCCTAGAGAGCATTACCATGATGGTAACCATTCTTCTGGCAAAATAAAAGCTAGATCTTATTCAGCATACAGGGATCATGTCAGAGAATTCAAAGATCCTGCCTATCATGAAGAGGATACAGATCATGAGGCAGGAAGGTCACCGCCAAAAGTAAACAAAAGACATCATTCTAAGTCAAAGAAAAAGCAACATAATGCCTCTCGTGTATTGAAGTCATCTGATGATGATGACATTACTAACCAGTATGGTTATAGCTCCCCGAGGACCATGAAGAGGTCACATTCAACACACAGGAAGCATTCGAGGAAAGCCAAAGCTTCTTCAGATTTTTGTGGTGTTTCAGATCATGTTGCTAGTTGGTCGCCCACTTGGGATAAATAAAAAACATCATGCAGAGTCGAGGAACACTAGAAACAGTGTCGCTAATATACCAAAGTCGCCTAGTGATGAAGACCTTACAAACCAGTGTGGCTTTAGCTCTCCTAGAACAATGAAACATGTGAGGTCTCATTCTACACGTACAAAGCTTCTGAAGAAGGGCAAAGATGCTCTTGATTATCCTGAGGTTGCAGATCATAGTGCTAGGTGGTCACAGCTGAAGGTAAACAAGCACCATACAAAATCAAGGAAAATAGAAAACACTGCCTCCCATATGTCTCAGCAGTCCTCTGGTGACGATGATGGCATCATTAATAGTCAGTACAGCTCTCCAAGAAGAAGAAAGAAGGCCAGAGCTCATTCAGCAAGAAAATACTCCAGGGAAGATCAAGCACATCCAGATTATTTTCTTGAGGATGCACATCACAAAGATGCATGGTCACCATTGAGAATGGACAGAAAACGGCATCAGAAGAAAGCTACATATGGGCCTTTTGGTGTGGTGAAGTCAACTTATGATAAAAATAGTGCAACCAGCGGCCATTATATTGATGAAGACAACTGCTCTTCCCAAACAGAGGTAAACGTAAGATATGATCCTGCATACAGAGAACATATAAGGAAGGCACAAGCTCTTCTTGATTTCCCTCATATGAGATCAGGTCATGATATCAGATGGACACCAGTGAAAGAACGCCCCAAAGCTAAGCGTAAATCTAGGGTCAGGTCATGGAAATCTGATTCTCGTGACACTGAACAGCCTGCCTGGGAAAGCATAGAGACAGGTAATCAATGATTCACACACAAATGTAGAGTTGTATATATCACGCTTGCAGTGGTGTTTTCTCTATAGAAAATGTTGCACAAGAGAAGCCCTTTTCCCTTCCCTGCATTCCTCCATTTAAGTGCATTTTTAGGTGTGAACAAAATGAAGACACAGTTGATGATGCAGCAATGATCACCTAATTAGTCATTAATTAAGCATTTAGCATAAATTAAGAGTAAAGGCATGAAAATCCCATTCTGTCACTGAGCAACCTGCACAGGAAAGCATGGAGGCAGATTTAATAAATGATTAAACCCCCCCCCCTCCCCCCCAAAAAAAATATCACAATAGTATGTAATACTAGCAATTCCCCCCCCCCCCCCCCCCCCCCCCCCCCCCCCCCCCCCTTTGCGTCTTTCTATTTAAGTGCATGTTCTGTTGTGAACAATTCTTTCAGCGGTTACTGATGCAGCCAAGAGCTGCCATGAGTAATGGCTAGACTCTCACCTGCAGATCCAAAGGTTGTGGGTTCAAATCCACATCACCCATTGAAGGCTGAGTGGTTATAAAAATATGAGTAGCCTCATATGCCAGATGGCACCACTGGTATGTAGGGGGATCCCTCATATGCCAGATGGCACCACTGGTATGTAGGGGGATCCCTCATATGCCAGATGGCACCACTGGTGTGTAGGGGGATCCCTCATATGTCAGATGGCACCACTGGTATGTAGGGGGATCCCTCATATGCCAGATGGCACCACTGGTATGTAGGGGGATCCCTCATATGCCAGATGGCACCACTGGTATGTAGGGGGATCCCTCATATGCCAGATGGCACCACTGGTATGTAGGGGGATCTTTAACTTTTACTTTAATGATGCAGCTATTCTAAAGAACTGCCAAAAATGCCTGTATTTACCTCTTTTGCTGTGTTTGGGGGTCTTTCATGGGCTCGAGGATTTAGTGCTGAATGATACAGCAATGTATCTCATTGTTAATTTAGCATTTGATCCAGAGTTAATGTAGGATAATGTCTGCTGGCAGGTTTCATCATGTTTGCTTGCATCTTGGTTTACATTTTGGCCTGCTGCTTCCTTAATCTTGTGAGCAACCTGGGCTTGCAGTGTCCTCTTCTTGAAAATATAGGTGCCTCACACTCAGTTGACATGTTGTTGGTCTAGCTCTGGTGGGTGTTAATTATTCTAGTCGGTGGGAAGAGGATGCATTCACAAATCCGTGTGTAATGACACACAGGTCTCATTGAGGACAAATAGCCAGTTACATTTGTAGAGATTTTATTTAGTTCTCAACTGTATTGGATACACGCACACACATGCGCACGTGCGCACACACACACACACACTGCATTATGTACATTTAAATTTGGTTTTTCACACTGCAACACAAAATATCAATTACTCATTGTTTACCAGAAGATATATTTTTAGAAGATATAATACAACACTTATGTGAACATCTTTCATGAATGAACAAGTTTATAGACTTCTAGTTTGAAAACATAATACACTTGTTATAAGCATACTGTTTCTGACAATAGTCAGGACAGTTACTGTGTAATGTTAATTTTTTTTGTATGTAACAATTTATTTTTCTCACATCTCATTTTCTTAGATTGTTGTTGACAGAATCAGTGTATTCTGCTAGTATTGCTGTAAATGTGTTTGAATAGTTCAGTTTGAACCTTTTTCATCTAGTCTGATTTTTTTTTTTTTTTTTTTTTAGATTTAAATTTAATGGTGGTTATTTTATAAAGTTAATATCTTTCAAATTTTGAGTTGTAAGGTTTGATTCTTTGTTAAAACCCTTATCATGTGTAATGGTCTGCATGTTCACATTTAAGCAGTTCTTAATATGTGTACCTGGTATTTTTTTCCTCTAAAAGAAAAAAAACTGTCACTACTAAACTGACTGCTTTCAAGGGCAGTGTAGACAGGGAGTCATGAACCTGAGGGTTTAGGGCTGTATGGCTAGTGCTGTCACCACAGATTGTGCAGGTTAGGATGTTTAGTTTACCCCCCCCCCCCTCTTCCTTTTTCCTTAACCCGACAGAAAAACATCCCTCACCTTACCGGGGGTCAAACTCTGGTCTCCCACCAGAGAACCCACTCAGTGTGCTCTAATGTGCTTTTGTATGTTCATGGTATTGCTGTTTCATAAAACTGAAAGGTTTCACCTCAACATGAGAGGCTGCTGTTGGATTGATTATGCTGATATCCTGTCAGCTGCTGGAAGGCTGCTGCTGCTGTTGCTGTTCTCATAAGTTGTTGACCTATCAGTGCTGATGGTGGCGTCTGGTTGTGACTCCTTGCATGGGTACACCAAATGGCAGATTATTAGAATTAGACCTGAGAAACTTTTTTAAATACATGCTTGATCGGTTATATCATATAGAAGTCCAAATGTACATAAATAACTATGATAGGTCTTATGCATGTTGTCAAATTATTCAGTATGGGATTCTCATTGAATCATCTTTGTCTTCTTCATTTCCTCTTTTACTGCTTTGGGTGTTATGAAGGGTAATTTGGCTACCGAATTTTTGCGAATAGTGAGAAATATGATTATTAGAGATTATCCAGATACATCGCTGATTTAGTCTTCTTATTCTGCCTCTGCATACATGCACACACACATGTGCCCATACACTTTCACACACATACACTTTCACTTACCCCCACACCCCACCAGATTTTCTAGTCATTGGAGTAGACCTTTAATAAACTCACTCCACGGTATATCTGTCATCCCCGTGTGGGATGCAATTTTTGTTATTTTGAAGCCCCACCCTGGCTTTTGCTGGTGCGGTCTTGATGTGCTTGGCACTTTGTGTTTTCCATATTCCATTCTATCCTGTCTTACATAACATAAACTTGCTAAAGATTAAGATTTTTTCTCTTATAATCTTTGCTGTGATTAGCAGTTCAGACATACCATAAATGTGGCATGTAAGTTGACTTTTCAAGCCTGAACAAAAATCTTCCCAAAACTAGGAACCGACATATATGGTGGGTATAAAATGCATTTTGCAGATATAAGCTTATTTCAGAATTTGAAGCTAAAGATATAGCAGGTAGACTTATTTAGACTTATTTACGGTTTTTCTTACATTCCAGGTATTAATTCTGGAGATTTTCCTAGGTAGAGTTAGGTTTGTCAGTGGTAAATATTCCCTTTGGCTTCCTCTGTGTCATATTTTCCCTATGAAAAGAACCATTTTTTTTTTACTTTGCTTGACTGGCTGTTGTTGTCTTTCATTTACTTGTTTATGTTTGGCTTTATTTTGGGCTCACGGCATCCGTGGCTAAGGCGTTGTGAGTCTGACTCGTAATCCAGTGTACCGCGATCGAAACCCACTGCGGGCTGCATGGATGGAACGTCGCAGGTCATCCCAGCCTCAAATGGGTACCAGGATGGCTGTCCTGGGGAAGTAGAGACGGCCGGCGTAATGCTGACCACATTACCCACAGAGTGCCGATTGGTCTGTAAAAATATGGGTGCTCTTCCCATATGCCCGATGCGCCTAAAGGCGTGAAAAGGGATCTTTACTTCACTTACTTTACTTATATTTTGGGCTCAAGTATTATTTTGTGACCAACCCCACACCAACCTTGACATACAAGATAGGTTACAGTATCATATTTCTCACGTGACCAAAGATTGTTCATTTCCCATGTGGGTGGTCAGTTGTCCTTGTGAGTTAACTTTGCTCTAGATGTCATTATTTTATATCTATTGCATTTTCAGCATTCTTCTATAATTGTACAGATTGCACAGGTCAGGTGATAATAAAAAAGAGAATCTGAACACATTGTTTATGTTGAACAGTTCCAGTTTTTGGTGTCAATTCTCAGGGCTGTATTTGGTTGCCTAAATGTTTATCATTAAAAGGATCAGTTCTGTCATTTTCCAAAATTCTAATTGTTTATATTCAGATGGCCATGATCTGATGATAAAGTATTTTTTCTTCAAATGTGTTGCTGCCTGTATAAATAAGTTCTATGTTGAAATAAGTATCATCTTATATAGAAAAGTCTTTCCTTAGATAGGCAGAGCTTTAAATGAAGTCCTACTAAGACAAACATGGCCGGTATAGTGATATTTTCTGAGATGAGTGGGACCATTGTTTGGTTGGTGCAAATTATAGCCATTGTTAATAAAGCCTTACCGACTGACTGACTGTGAGTTCAGCAGTCAGAAAGAGAGGAGTCGTTAACTTACAGTTAACAGTGAGAGGATCCACTGCATTGCACTGGGTTTTTATCCCATATGGCTGTCTTTTTCCACAGACAGCAAGCCGCCTGCCGAGAGTTTCGCACAAACCACAAACACAATAGCTCAGTGATGATCCACAGGGTCTCCATGAACTTTGCATTCATGAAGTAGACGACCCGGTAGTGAAATGAACCTACAATCTTCAAAGTAAACAGCTTCACCGTGTTGTCAGGGAGACCCTCAGAGGAGCATTATTTGCTGCCCTTTAAGTCTCTGTCAAAAATGAGTACCAGAGAATGCAGGAACACATTATGAACCATGCACAGAATTTGAAATTCTGAGGATGTTATCTTTTTTGAAATAGGTAGAAAAGACAGAAAACAGGGTGATGTTTTTAAATTAAAACAATATTGTAGTCAATTTGTCTACTAGTATAGAATGTACATTTCTAACATAGCTTCATTCCACCCACCTTATGCATGGAGGTAGCATCTTCAGACAGTGTTGATTCTTCTGATGAACACATAAGAAAGATTGACATCATTAGCTTGAGTTCACATGCTGCTGAAACATCTGTCACAATAAAGGTACACCAGTATAACTTTTGGTCAATTATCTTCTTCCCTTTCACTGTCAGTAAACTCTGGCAGAAAATTTTTTTTTTTTTTTTTTATCCACTTCTAGACTGGTTTTGCTTCAAAACTTGAGTTTTACATGCACATTCATTTAAAGATCTGGCTTTATGTGTGCAGGCTGTTGATTCCTGGCCTCTCAGGCACATGCACTCTGAAGGTCTACACCCCTTGTTGCCTTTTATGACATGCTTGATAGGGGGCAGTGGGTCTGTTCTCTTTTCTCCTAAAATATGGCCCTGAAACCCAACATGAGGAAGTCAGTTATAAACTATAGCAGGTTCTAACAAAACAGAATGAGGCAGCAAATATGGTTTACATAATTCTTTTTTTTTTTTTTCATTATGTTTATCCATTTGATTGAAGATAAAACTGCATTGTCAGGACCATGTGTTTTTCTTAGTTAATAAATTATTTTTGAAGACATGTCTTTTTTTCTTTTTTAAAATCTAAATTTTTCATTTACAATATACTGTTATATACGAAGTGGGACCTGATTATTTTGGAGGAGAAAATAGACACAGACAAGTGTGTTGTAAAAGGTGATTAATTTAGGCTTAGCTGAAATTGGATGTGTTGGTCCAAAAGGAGATATTGAGTCTAGCGTTTGAAGTAAGTTAAAAAAAAAGTAAAGGACCCTTTTCCATGCCTTTAGGCATATAGGGCTAGACCTATATTTTTATAGACCAATCGGCACAAGATGGGTGATGTGGTCAGCATCACGCCGGGACTGCACCCGATACCCACTCAAGGCTGGGTCAACCTCGGAGCCAAGGTCATTTTTGAAAATAGTCCGGCTCCACCAGGGAGCAAACCCAGGACCTTCCGATCCATCTAGCTGCTCAGCCACGGCAACTCCCAAGCGTTTGAAGAGCAAATGCAGAGAAAGAAGAAGAAATCTGGTGTTATACTGTATGGTGATAAACTGGGTACTTAAATATCTGTTTTTGTTTTAACTTGGCCGCTGCTCTGTCCTTTACCTTTGCATTACACATAAGTGTACATGGAACTGTCATCAGGGCAATAAGACAGGTCACACAACTGTCGTTGCATTTTACTGCAGTAAACTTGACCACATAGGTTACATTGACTGTTCATAGTTCTTACTGCAGTAAACTTGACCACATAATTTACATTGACTGTTCTTAGTTCTTACTGCAGTAAGCTTGACCACACAGGCCACACGACTGTCCTTGGCCTTTACTTCAGTAAACTTGACCACATAATTTACATTGACTGTTCTTAGTTCTTACTGCAGTAAGCTTGACAACAGGTCACACGACTGTCCTTAGCCTTTACTTCAGTAAACTTGACCACATAATTTACATTGACTTTTCTTAGTTCTTACTGCAGTAAGCTTGACAACAGGTCACATGACTGTCCTTGGTTTTTACTGCAGTACTTGACCACATGTCAGCGTCTGTGGCTTAGGCGTTGGGAACGAACTTTTTAATGCCCAGGTGCCAGGTTCGATCCCAGCTGCTGGCCTTGCGCCTTGCGTTAGTTTCAAGAGTGGTGTCAAGAAGCCAACCGTCCAGCAAGCAGTGGCAAACTACTGGACGTAAATTTGCCCAGAAAAACCACAAACATGTTACATTGACAGTTTTTAGTTCTTACTACAGTAAACTTGACCACATGGGTCACATGACTATCCTTGGTTTTTACTGCAACAAACTTGACCACACAGGTCACATTGACTGTCCTTTTTTCTTACTGCAGTAAACTTGAACACAATTATCACATTGACTCTCCTTAGTTCTTAACTGCAGTAAACTTGAACACATAGATCACTTAGTGCCCTTAGTTCTTACTGCAGTAAACTTGAACACATAGATCACTTACTCTCTTTAGTTCTTACTGCAATAAACTTGAACACAATGATCACATTGACTGTCCTTGGTACTTACTGCAGTAAACTTGAACACAAAGATCACATTGAGTGTCCTTACTTCTTACTGCAGTAATTGATTGTAGCCCAGATAGGTTACATTGACTGTCCTTTCGTTCTTACTGAAGTAAACATGACCTCACAGGTCATACATTCCTTAATTCTTAATGTGGCATAGGTGATCAAATATGTCGCTGCCAGTAAATCGCTATTTTAGTTGATAGTTTTTATTGAATAGGGCAGACTGGAGAGAAGGATATCTTGTGAAACTGCCCCAAAAAAGTGATCTACAGGAGTGTGAAAACTATAGAGGAATTATGTTGCTTTCAGTTCCTGGAAAAATATTAAGTAGAATTATTTTGGAAAGTTTAAAAGATGCTATTGATAAAAAGCTAATAGATGAAGTTTTCGGTCAAACAGATCCTGTACTGGCCAGATAGCCACATTACGTATTATAATAGAGCAAAGCTTTGACATTGGATTTATAGACTATGAAAAAGCATTAGACAGCATTTAGGAAATCTCTCTGGTAATTGATGGGGCACTATGAAATCCCACAGATGCAAGATAAATCATACTTGATGCGAGATCACAGCAGATTGGTCTGAAAATCCATAAAGGAAAGACAAAGATAATGAGAATAAATCAGGCAAATAGTAATGTGGTTTCTCTTAATGGCACCCCACTCCAAGACGTGGAGTTGTCTACCTATTTGGGCAGTAATGTAGATAAAGATGGAGGAACTGATATAGATATTAAAATAAGAATACCAAAGGCAAGAGGAGCTTTCATAGCACTAGGGAATTTGTGGAGATTAAAAGAAATACTAAACTAAAAATGATTAATTCTAATGTCAAATCAGTACTTTTGTATGGGGCGGAAACATGGAGAACAACTAAGGCAATTACTAATAAATTACAGACATTCATTAACTGGAGCCTGTGCAGAATAGAGGGAATTAAATGGTATGATAGAATAACTAATGTAAAGCTTTAGGAGAGAACTAAACAGGCTCAAGTGGACCAAGAGGTTAGGAAAAGATGCTGACGTTGGATAGGACACACAATGAGAAAACAGGAGAACAGCATAACTAGAATATCTGCATTGGAACCCACAGGGGCATAAGAATAAAAAAAAAGGCCAAAAACGCATGGAGAAGAGAGCTGGAAAATAAAGTTAGAAAGATGGGGAGAGCTCCATGCAATGGCGCAGGAAAGAACGACTTGGCTTGAGTTTGTAGAGGGCCTATCCTCCACTGGGGGATGTAAAGGCAGAAGAAGAAGAAGGGCACACTCCACACAAATACTGAAAAGTTACCGTCCACTAGGTGCTAAAATGAGAAAAGTTAACTACAGTAGAGCTATCAAAGAAGGTGTTTCGGTGTGAACAGGAGTTAACACATCAGAGCAAACTGACAGGGCACACTTTTATGCAACAGATCAAAGAACAAGATCATAACTAGGATAAACTAGCCATCCTCCACATAAGGGCTTGGTCAGGGATATCTGTTAAAGGCTGATCTGAATGACAGAATAATAGAGAATTCATGGGAAAGGTTGGATGCAGGTTTGGAAAAACTTGAGAAACATAATATCAGTGCTATATCTGGTTATACCCAGACATACGTGCGCGATCACTTTACAGCACGGTGTGTGTTCTTGCGTATGAATAACGTGCACGTATTTTTCAATGTTGAGTATCATCATCATCAGTTCTCGTGGTGCCTAGTGGCACATGAGGCTTCAGAGAGGACTTTCCATGCTTTCCTGTCCTGTGCAATCTTCAGTGCAGTTTTCCATGTCAAAGATGCCGCACTCAGGTCACTTTCCATCGTTCGTCCCCATGTTGTTTTTGGGCGCCCCTGTTTTCTCTTTCCCCCTGGTGTCCATGTGAGAGCTGTTTTGGCAGGTATATCAGGATTCATTCTCATAACATGGCCAAGCCATTTATATCTTCTCTTGGTTATCATACTGTCTAAAGTTTCTTGGTTTGTGACTTGAAGTAATTTAGTGTTTGAGACTGTATATACAGCACTAAAATCTATTTGAAAAAATTAATTAGCTTTTCACATGTCAGAAAATACTGTTTAGAACACACGATTTATTCGAAGAGGGGGGAGGACATAAAGTACGAGACTGCTCGTTTCAATGCGACCAGGTAAAATTCACATAGAATAGCACATAGTATAACATAGTTTGTTTTACAACTTCACTGTAAAAATCTGGCTGCTGTGGTGCACTCTGATTTCTGGGATGTGCGTACAGCAAGTCACACACGGTACGCCCCATTAACACAGGGCAGTTATGGTAATTTAAAGGTGAGTTGCGTGTCCTTTACAGGACGTTGAAGAACCAGCTCTAGATTTTTCGACAGTTGTGATTTTTCTAGGTAAAATTACGTTCACTAGTTCGCCATTCCTGGTGTACGGTCGGCTTTTGAAACCCACACAAAGCGGTCTGCTGCCATAAAGAACTCTGCGCTCTGGCATTACGAAGCGCGTTCACTACGCCTAACCACACACACCGACTGATGTGATTGACAGCAACAAAAACGTTACCAACAGACAACTCACTTGGAATGTTACATGAAGCCAGATTCTTGCAGTCTTGTACTTGAAAGCTCTCACCTGTAATACCCATAACGTTGTTCAGTTACTTTCAACAATTATAGCCATAAACTCTGTAGAGACAAAATATCACATGTTTATCTCCTGAGTGACTACTGTGATAACCACTGCGTGAAACACCTGGGCTCCTAGATTGATACAACCCGAAAATATGTACCAGGAAAGAATGGTGCGATACTTTTTTTTTTTAATATCCAGAAACCATGAGTTGTTAACCCTTTGGCTCGGTACTATGGATATCGCAACCCTTCGGCCTTGATTCCATGATAGGTACCGTAAATCTGGGAGGAAATGTGGCTTTTCTGCCTACCCCCGGGAGTAAACCCGGACCACAAGGAGTTCGTCACCCAGTCACCGCGCAGTCCGGTTTATTTAACTACGCTAGAGAGCCGGGCAGGTGTGATACATAAACCATATTACCCATTGACTGCTGGGGATCGTTCTATAACAGCAGAGAGAAGGGAGAAAATCTAATGCCTTACCTCCCAAGAATGTAAGTCGTGGACTACCTATATATCTTCTTTTACCCCACCAGGACATCACACAAGCGATAAATACCCGATGACACAAAGTGCCACCATGCGGATGAGGATCACCCGTGGAGAGGTCCCAGAAACCGCGTTCAGCCATTAGACCATATTTATGGCGGGGCTATATTGCGGTCCCTGGCAAGAGCCAGAGTAAGGCTTCAAATAACGAAAAATTGCATCTCACAAGGAGATGACTGGGTTGATACCAGAACAGTCGTGGACTCTCTCCCCGTCCTTAATGAAGCAAATAGAGGTTTTTGAGCTGAAATGCTGCAGATTCTCTGAATACCATGGACAAAGAAGAGGAGAAATACTGACATTTAGAAGATCTGAACACTAAGAAAGATTGGCTAATAAACAGCACCTTGCCTCGGAAGCTGAAATATTTTGTTCATATGAAGCGTCGCGACGGATCGGATAAAAATAATAGCAGAAGACATGGTACTAGGAAGGAGGAGCAGGGGCCGACCAACACGAAGATGGGCGCAGGACATAAGTGATTCCTTGAATATGAAAGTACACGAGGCGGGAGAGCTTGCGAAAGACCGAGTTTCATTCAGGCAGATGAGAGCGACGTTCTGCAAAGGACCTGCTACATGGGGATGATGACACAACTATAAGAAAGAGACATTCGGTGCTCTTCGGTGAGAAGATAGGCATTGGAAAACATTGCGATGACACGATAGATCAGTATAGCAGAGAAGCACATCAAGGGAAACGATGTTTGATTGCCCTGAAACGAAGGCATGGTGGTGTATCATTAGTGGATCTGTTTCAAAATACCAAAGACCGGGATCGGTGAAGAGTCCTGAACGCTTTCGTCGCTGGACAGGACACATGACGGTGATGATGATGATGACTCCAAAAATGCATTGTTTGCTTATTAGTAAATTATTTTTTTTTAAGCAAGAGTTTTCATTTGTTCATCAGTGTGAATACAGGCCGTCATTGGTGGCTCCAGTGTTTAGATTCAGGAGGAGACGCAACACATACAGTGACAGGGTCACAAAAACTAATTAATCAGCAAATGTTGTGTATACTCAACGCTACTGTTGTATGCTGCAAAAACCTGGACAGTGAACGAGCAAAAAAAAAAAAATCGAACTGAAGATCTGATGATGTGGATATGCAGAAGAAGAGGTCGTATTTGGGGCAGGGAGGGGGGGGGGGTGTGTGTGTGTGTCAAATACAGATGTTCTGATTGAAAAAATAATACTTTTTTTTTTTTTAAACGGAGACAGTTTTATATTTTGCTACATACTTTTCTTTTAACACCACACCGGAAAGAAAGCGAATGCACGAGAGCAAGAGCTAGACAGCGACGCAAGTGGGAGGACATCATCAAGAGATAGACATATAGCAGTCTGAGAGACGGTTTTGGAGATCTATTGTAGCTAGCCTTTATTGTGAAAATCTCACTTGATTAAATAATAACACAAAAATATGTTAATATGAATACAATAATATATGGGGCTGGGCGGGCGTTGGAACAGATACTTAAAAAAGAACTTCTGTGGGTAGTTCAATTCTAGTGGTGAATGTTAGTGTTGGCACCTCTAGCGACTGACTTTCGTATTTATTGCTAGTGCATGCCTCTGGATTTTTCCGGGCCTTACTGTACAATCACCAGTTTTCATATTGGACCGTGAAGTGAATTTCTGGTTGATTTTCAAGGGTACGGGAACAGAGAAATGATGGGGTGACCTGTTCATGGAGAATTTGAAATCTCAAGTCAAAAAAAAAAAAAAAAACAGGCTAAGGACCTTTTTCCACGCCTTAGGCGTTTTGTGCGTATTTAGGACACGTTTTTTTTTTTTGACAGACCAATGGCTGAGTGATTTGATCAACTCACGCCGGCCGCATTTACTTCCCAGGACTTTACCTGGTAAACACTAAATGCTGGATCGACCTTGAAGCCAAAGTTGTTTCGAAATTTAAGGGGAAAAAAACCTCGGCTCCGTCACGACCTGAACTCACAAACTTTACATCCGCAGGCTAGCATCTAACCGCTTCACGACGGCGGTGGCTCCCGACTGACTGACTTTCTACCCCACCAGGACATCACACAAGCGATAAACACCAGATGACACAAAGTGCCACCATGTGGGTGAGGATCACCGTGGAGAGGTCCCAGAAACCGCGTTCAGACAGTTGGCCATATTTATGGCCTGCCTATGTTGCGGCCCCTGACAAAAGCCAGAGTGGGGCTTCGAATAACAAAAAATGTCGTCTTTAAAAAGACGTAAGGATTAATAGTAGTGCGGCTCCCGAAATCTCAAGTACCTTTTTAAAACTGCTGACCTCGCCCGGCGCGCTAGCTTAGTTGGTTAAACCAGCTACGCGGCGACCGGGCAGAGCACGGTCCTTGTGGTTCGACTTTCAGCTCGGGGGGTAGGCAGAAAAGCCACATATTTCGCAGATTTACGGTATCTGCCATGAAATCAAGCCCGAAAGGTTGCGATGTACAAAGTACCGAGCCATAGGGTTTACAATTCATTGTTTCTGGATCAAAAACAAAAACTGTTTACCTTCCTCCAGCAAGTTCTCATTTGCTTACCTTTTTTGTTATTTATCTCCAATAATATTTATCAGCTTTCTCGTAGAATTTGTGTGTGTGTGTGTGTGTGGGGGGGGGGGGGGGGGGGGCGCTTTTACTCTCCATTCCACATTTCCTCAACAAAAAATGTGCCGAATAGGCGCGGTTTGTGTACACAAGAGAGCAGTGACGAAACTGGGTCAGTGTAAGGAGCTTGGTGATACTTAACGTTGTGGCAGTTATCTACTTTGCTATACATCATCAGCAGACTTTGCTATACATCATCAGCAGACTTTGCTATACATCATCAGCAGACTTTGCTGTACATCCATCAGCAGACTTTGCTATACATCATCAGCAGACTTTGCTATACATCATCAGCAGACTTTGCTATATATACATCATCAGCAGACTTTGCTATATATACATCATCAGCAGACTTTGCTATATATACATCATCAGCAGACTTTGCTATATATACATCATCAGCAGACTTTGCTATACATCATCAGCAGACTTTGCTATACATCATCAGCAGACTTTGCTATACATCAATCATCAGCAGACTTTGCTATACATCAATCATCAGCAGACTTTGCTATACACATTGCTATACATCATCAGCAGACAGACTTTGCTATACATCATCAGCAGACTTTGCTATACATCATCAGCAGACTTTGCTATACATCATCAGCAGACTTTGCTACATCAATCATCAGCAGACTTTGCATCATCAGCAGACTTTGCTATACATCATCAGCAGACTTTGCTATACATCATCAGCAGACTTTGCTATCAATCATCAGCATCATCATCAGCAGACTTTGCTATACATCATCAGCAGACTTTGCTATATACATCATCAGCAGACTTTTGCATCATACATCATACATCATCAGCACTTTGTATACATCATCAGCAGACTTTGCATCATCAGCAGACTTTGCTATACATCATCAGCAGACTTTGCTATACATCATCAGCAGACTTTGCTATACATCATCAGCAGACTTTGCTATACATCATCAGCAGACTTTGCTATACATCATCAGCAGACTTTGCTATAGATCATCAGCAGACTTTGCTATAGATCATCAGCAGACTTTGCTATAGATCATCAGCAGACATTGCTATACATCATCAGCAGACTTTGCTATACATCATCAGCAGACTTGCTATACATCATCAACAGTCTTTGCTATAGATCATCAGCAGACTTTGCTATAGATCATCAGCAGACTTTGCTATATCACATCATGCATCATCATCAGCAGACTTTGCTATACATCATCAGCAGACTTTGCTATACATCATCAGCAGACTTTGCTATACATCATCAGCAGACTTTGCTATACATCATCAGCAGACTTTGCTATACATCATCAGCAGACTTTGCTATACATCATCAGCAGACTTTGCTATACATCATCAGCAGACTTTGCTATACATCATCAGCTGCTCTCCTGGGCTGGTAGCGAAGCTGCATATCATGCTGCTAATTGTTGCTGAAAGTATGTCTGGTTACCATATCAGTTCAGTCAGGAACCAACATAACAGCACCCATCACATTTATATAAACATCCTGTCCCCATCTTCAGCAGCCAGCAAAGAACGACGATTTCGATGGTACCTGTAGCAGTTTGATTATACGTCCATCTTGCCTCTCCTCCACCCAGGTATAGCAGTTAGCTGCGTATCCTTTACAGGACGTTGCAGAACCAACCCTAACAGTCCCTGGCTGTTTGTGTGGTTTCTCTTGGCAATTTACATCCAGTAGTTTGTCATTGCTTTTTGGACGGCCGGCTTTCTTGATACCACTGCCGAAACCAACGCAAGGCGCATTGCCCGCAGTTGGGATCGAACCTGGCATCCAGGCATTACGAAGCGAAGCGTTCGCATCGACTTAGCCACAGAGCCGACACCCAGGTATACTGACCCAATTTTACTTCCCGACCACGCTCTGACTATGTATAGGGTCAGTACCTGTCTACTTAATCCTCTTGAAACTTCACAAGAGACCTAGATAAGGATCCTCTACTTAGTGACCTGATCTAGCTTGTCACAAAATGAGCTTACCCTGACAGTCAAAGCCTCCGTTTGAAGGAGCGGGACAAGAACAGGCCCTCTGTCGCCCCTGTATTGAGTTTTCCCCTGCACAAGTTGAAGAGCAGGCACTCCACACACTCCATTCACACCATGTGCCGTTTTCTACACAGAAGACAAGAATTCGTTAGTTGCATCTTTTACAATATAATCATGAAGCACATTTAAATATGAGTTAATGTGGGCACATGGGTCTATTCTGCTATAATCATGATCATGAAGTACACAAAGGTGAGGTCACACGCGTACACACAAACACACACATATATAGTTTGATTAATTTTGTTTATTGTTAGCTATCATAAAAATTTAAAACATGGTCTTCAGAGGATATGTATTATGTACCTCGTTTGCTGTTGGAGTTTCTGATAACAAAGATGGCATTTAAGAAATAGTGCTAAGGTCACAAATATGAAGTCGATGTTTTCACAGTCACTTACTTGGACAATCATGGTCATTGTAACAAGTGATTCGTTCCATTTGTTGTCCAATACACGGCTTGCCCCCGTGAGCTGCTGCAGGGTTTGAGCAGGTCCGAGATCTCAGTTGCAGCCCTCGGCTACAGCGTGGTGCTCGACAAACGCCATTACTTGTCCATGGGCTCCAGCTACCATCCACTGTGTGTGGATAGACATTGATTTATTGTGAAAAATGTAATAACGAGGGAAGGTCATTAGGTAAAGGCAACTAACTGCATTAATAAGTTTATTGCAACAAAATGATTCTGTGTCACATTTCTCCAAATAGTCTCCCTGCCTTGCTACTCGTGTAGTTAACTGAACCACAGGATTGTGAACGGCCGCCGGGTAGAAGCTTGTGGGTGTGGCCAGTAGCTAAGTTTGCACCACCGACATCACCTCATTGTCACCAGCAAATCTCTGACTCCTTCAGTTTTTAAATTTTGTCACCCATTCATACACTATCTTCTGACACAAACAACTCTCCGTATTGAACCTTTATTCTTCTATAGACTCCAAGCTGTTTAACACCCCTTGCCATCAAGACACGAATAACATCTTGTTGTCCTGACAAAGTGCATGCTAACAGTGCTGCGGCCATTTTGTACGAGCTGTTGTGCATGCACATACTGCTAAATCGTTGCGACAAGTATTTTGAGCATTACAAAAGAGCTATTCTGTGTACTGAAATAATATTCTTTCTTTTGCATTCTATTCCATGTAGACTAAGAAACAAATTTCATTTGCTTAAGGACTTCCCCTTCTACGTGTAATAGATTCTATCGCCTGCTTTAATTGGTGTTCATCTATTTTGATATTGGTGGTTCTTCCTTTTTCCTGTTTTGTCTACGTTGATCTTCGCATCACAGTGTCGCATTCTGGGTAGAGTCTATTAATATGTTCTTGTAGCTGTACTGCAGTTGGTGTTTTGATTGCCTTGTCATCGGCGAAAAGCAGTTCATTTAGTAATTCTCCGATGTTGTTTCCCTCGCTGATGTTAGCTGATTTGCAAGTTTGGTCGACTTATGTGATGAACAGTAGTGGTGACAGAACGGCACACCTGTCTCACTCCAGATCTAATGTAGAACTTTTCTGACATTCCTGTATTTATTCTAACTGTGCGCATTGACTTTTCACGTATAAACTCTTGCACAGTTTAATAAAATGTTTGTTTACTCCGTAGTCATGCAGTACATAATGTATTCCTATTAACTCGATCGAAAGTTTTTTCTTGGTCTACGAATGCGACGTGTAATTCTTTATCGAATTTTAGTCCTTTCCACTAATTGTCTAAGTGTGAATATTGCATCAGTACAATACTCAAGGGAGCGTGAGGGTCTTGCTATATACCCTAGGGGTGGGGGGGGGGGGGGGGGAGACGCCATCTGAAACCGGTTGGATCCCACTGCTCAAATGGTGGTTTCTAACAGAAGTTGATTACAGTGTCTCTCATCTTGACCTCGAAAACGGTATCATGTTCTTATCCCGGCTTCTCACTAAGATCATGTAACTGTGTTATCGTCTGAGATTCGTCGTTATACACTAGTCTCGTCTGAAGTCGCCGTATGTGGCTTAAGCTTTGCGAACACGATTCGTAATTTCTGGGTGCCGGTTTCGATCCCACCTGCGGACGACTTGGCAGCAGATCACCTTGCGATGGCTTCGACAGTAGTATTGACAGCCGACCGTTTATTAGAAAGCAGCAGCAAACTACTGAAAGTAAAATGTGCTTACTAAAACCGCCCCCCCCAATCCCTCAAACACACACAAATCCTATGCTTGGCCTGTAAAGGATAAACAGCTAACTATTTCAAACCTATCCGAATAATGTTGATGATACTGAACACGTGTGTGTGTGAGAGTACTCGTGTGTGTGTGTGTGTGTGTGTGTGTGTGTGTGTGTGTGTGTATCTGTGTGTCTGTCTGTCTGTTCGCATGCGCAAGCATGCTTGTTTGTGATGTGTATTTGTAGGTGCGACTGCGATATTTTTTTGGGGGTGGGGAAGCAAAACTATTCATGTTTCTTGAGAATGGCGCCACTCACCAGGACAATGCTGGCCACCGTAACATTCCTCTTGTTGTGTGGCCGAGCCTTCACATTCGGAACCTCCAAACTGAGGCCTTGGGCTGTCACAGGCTCTTGTCCTCTCCCTGATTCCCTTGCCGCAGGTTGCAGTACACAATGTCCACGTGCCCCACAGCGACCAGGCTCCGTCCACTGGGGAGACAGAAAGATAGTGGCATGAACAGTGTCAGATAGCCCCTGTGAAAATTAGAAAAACAGAATAATAGTGCATGAACAGTGTCATATAGCCCCCGTGAAGATTAGAAAGACAGAAGGATGATCCATGAACAGTGTCATATAGCCCCCGTGAAGATTAGAAAGACAGAAGGATGATCCATGAACAGTGTCATATAGCCCCCGTGAAGATTAGAAAGACAGAAGGATGATCCATGAACAGTGTCATATAGCCCCCGTGAAGATTAGAAAGACAGAAGGATGATCCATGAACAGTGTCATATAGCCCCCGTGAAGATTAGAAAGACAGAAGGATGATCCATGAACAGCGTCAGATGGCCTCAGTGAAGATTAGAAACATGGTAACATAATGTGTGAAGACGTCAAACGACATCAGTTGTAATAAACATACTACATTATCAAGCTATTATCTTAGTCATAGGAAGCCATGGTATCGCAATCATTAGATAAAATATAGGTCTGGCCGTGTTTGCCCAATACGTCTGAAGGCGTGGAAAAGGGTCCTTTACTTTTTCCCGTTGACAAACCTGGCAAGAATGTCTCACAAATAACTGAGATCAATCGATAGGTGCTGCTATAAAATTGAATATATTATGATTAGAACTGTTTTACAGATCCAGATAGAATCGTACATATTATAAGTAGTGATCGGTGTCAAAGCCACGAAGGAAAGTCAATAAGTAAGTCAAAAATAGTTGTTTAAATTGAGGAAAAAAAAATAATAATAAAGACGAAAACAACTTCAAAATCGCTGTCCATTTTTCCCCCCAGCCTAATTTCTATTAACATTGGCGCACCTGCCCCATCGTTTTATTAGTCCTCCAAAACCTGCTGCTCTGTTTTCTTAACCACATTTTCACTTCACAGTCAACTTCAGCGTCATTCGCGAAATGTCTCCCGCCAAGGTGAGTTCACCCCCTCCACCCCCCCCCCCAAAAAAAAAACAGAACAATAGCACGTTGTTCTTTGAGGGTGCACTCAGTAAGTACAGTTACCTAATTTGTCTCTGTGTTGCGAATGTGCATGTAACGCCTAGCGCCACCTAACAAACGGAGACATTAAGTTTGATGTTTCTGTCACCTTATGACAACTTTAGAACCACTAACTAGCTTTCCCTTACATCCCATAACCATGTGTGGCTTTTTCATTGACTTCCCCTCCTATATATAAAATGACAACCAGATCTCCTTAAGACTAGAACGAAGACATGTTTACGAAAGCATGCATGTACGTTGTACATAATTACCTGGGCACTTTACAACCTCGCATTTCTTAGTAAACATTTCAGAACCCGGGCAGTTTTTGCCTCCAAACTGAGGCAGAGGGGAATCACATCGCCTGGTCTTCTTGGAGATCCCTGGGCCACAACTGCTGCTGCACTCAGAGAAGTCGGACCACTCACTCCACTGCCCATCCACTGTCAGAGACAAAGCATTCCTGTATTCACTGTTGTTATTTACATCATGTGCTCAATGATCAAACAAGAAGAACTGATACTGCATTTGTGTACTTCAGCAAAAGCAGAACATTACAAATAATGAGTTCACAAAGGGTGAATATTTAAGAATATGTATGTTTATTCACCATAAAGAAACGGGTATTTAAGATTCACATATAATAACGTTCACATTGCTACAACAGATACAAGGAATGTTAAAAATGAGGTCATCGACCATATTGCTGCAGGTTTTATACGCCTTGGTCTCTCCGCAGGGCACCACTGGTCACAAAGCGTGAACTCAAAAGTGACAGTAGCCCAGCACCCTTTGCCCTAGAATTCTAAAAGACTTGCACTCATGAAACGGATTGATCTGGTCTTAAACCAATCCCACAACCTTCACAATGCGATTAGAGACTTCCGGCCAGAAAGCAGACTGTTTGCTGATGCTCTGAAAAGTTATTTGTTGCTCGCTAAGTTTTCATTCAAATACCATGTGGGGGAGGATAGTTTTAGAGATAAGGAAAATGACTCTGAAGGTGATGGCATCAGTGGACATACAATGCTCTATACACTCTACCAGCAACTGATTATTTCGATTATGGAGTATCGTTTGGGACTGCTAACATTACCTCATACCTAAATAGAGAAGCTGGAACGCAGACAAATTGAAGCCATGCAAGTCATTTTGGGATGTACACGAGACACGACAATTGTGTGTATGCGACACATACCTGCATTACCATCTGTGTTTGAGAGATACAAGGTTCTGTAGGCGAAAATGTTTTTCAAGTCGCAGTGGATAGGGAATACCTTCTGCGTGAGGTCTCAGGGGATAGCAAGGGACAGCCGCTGAAAAGATGTCACTCTGCGATAGCAGAACGGTTTAGCTACTGACAAGATACCGCGAGGGGAAGAATGGGTTACAGTGCCGTTCGGCAAAACAGACTTGCATAGAGTTACCTTTGACTGCGGGTGTCGGGAATGGATAGCTGGTGAAACAGAGTCAGGGCGCAAGGGGTCACCAATGAAAATTCACGCTCAGGTGACATCAGAATATATAAAGATGAGTCCGTGGTGAGAGCTAAAAATAATGGGTGGGGTTTTATTGCAAAGGTAAAAGGACAGACAGCCTCGCGTTCAACGTCACTACATCCAGTATGAGAATAGAGGTGGAGGCAGTAACGATGGCTATTCCATCACTTGAGAACAGCACAGCCCGACATGTTGTGATTGTAACAGACTCACTGAGCGTGCGTCGGAAATTAGAACATGTGTCCTGCGATCAGAGTGGCTTGCATCACTCGATAAAACCCAGATCAAGAGCATATCATGGATTTTCCACCAATGATATTCAGGTGTTCGAGATAACGAGCAGGCTGATAGATTAACTGCTGCCGCCGCTTTGGGCGGTGAGCTACTATATGATAATGCAGATGTGGTGAAGGCTATATGGAATCAAATGGACAGTGCAAAGGAACGGATAGAGAATCCATACACTGAAGGACTAATTCAATGGGTTGGGGCGGAGGGGCGCGAGGGGGGGGGGGTGAGTAGAGGTTATGGAAGATATTCAACATTGAAGGGTAGAGGGAGACGGACTTTTAATTAAGTTGCAACTGGCACCATTAGCATGTTACCTCTTCGTTTGTTACTGAAGAAGGAGACTGAGCACATGTATGAATGTACCGAGTGAAGTGATGTCAATTCTTGATTCATTCATTCAAAGCTTTGTTTTGCTGGTGTATATTTCTTACTAGCTATACCAGGCTCTCATATATGATGCCAGCTTACCCCTAACACTAACAGGGAGCCGCTGTGGTATAACGGCTAAACGCTCACCTCGAGTTCGAAGGCTGTAGGATCAAATCCGTATGAAGTCCGATCTTTTCAAAATTTTCCCTGGCTCACCCAGACTTAAATTTGTACCAGGTGGGGAGTAAAACTGGCAGATATCAGGCACTGAGTACCGATTGGTCTATAAATTATAGGCCTAACACTATATGCCCAGTAGGTGGCAGCGTCGTCTCGAGGCATGGTGTCTGCCTCGAGTGGTAGAGTTTACAGGTTCAATCCCCGGTAAGGCCTGGGATTTTTTCACGTGGACTTGGACTTCTAGTATTTCCACTGGTCTCTGGATAGTGAGATGGGGCGCCCGTACGCCATGTTGCGCACGTAAAAAGTCCCTTGGCTGTTGGGAATCGAAAAGAGTAGCCTAACGTCGCTGCCCAGGCAAAATTCGGAGTTAAAAATCTAACCAAACAAGTTCAGGATCCTCGCCGGTGCCACAGAGCCTGTGCACTGTGCTGAGCTTCTTTGGACTCAGACTTGCGTTAGAAGAAGAATGGAGCACTTAAAAGTTACAACCCTTGCCCCATGATGTTGATCTGTTGTTCAAACCTAAAACTATTTGCCCAATACACCTGAAGTCGTGGAAAAGGAACCTTTACTTTTATTTAACAATAACAACAGTAAACTACACATTCCTTACCTGGACAGGGCTTCTTGTTGCACTCCTGCACAGCCACTGCATCTCCTGGGCAGTTGTCGCCTCCATACGCTGGGGGCGGGTAGTTGCACTTGCGTTGCCTGGTTCGCGTTCCGCCTTCACACGCAGAGCTGCAGGACTCCCACGGGTACCAGGGCCCCCAGTTGCCATCAACTGTCAACAAATGTTAAAAAAAAGTAAGTAAAGATCCCTTTTCACGCCTTTCGGCGCTTCGGGCATATGGGCAGAGCGTCCCATATTTTTACAGACCATCAGCACTCTGTGGGTAATGTGGTCAGCATTACGCCGGCTGTCTTTACAAATGTTACAAACATATTACTGCATTTACATCAACTGTCAACAAATGTTACAAACATATTACTGCATTTTGACAACAAATGTTACAAACATGTTACCGCGTTTCCATCAACTGTCAACAAATGTTACAAACCTTTTACTGTTTCCATCAACTGACAACAAATGTTACAAACATTTTACTGTGTTTCCATCACTTTACAAGAAACCGGCCTTATTGAATATCTGGACATAGCCGCTGCACAAATGAAAGACATTCCGCATGAAAAACACAGCTCACAGGGCTGCACCAGTGGTTCAGACAGCGAAACCGTAGACTACAGTCCTTATGAGAAAACCACATTGGAAAAGCTCTGTCTCAAGTAAGAATAACTTCGAAGCTGCCATGCCTAATCCTCCATTTGGACAGGAAGTCCTTGTAGATATAGCATCAAACTATACATGTACTCATACGGAATGGGGTCATGCTATAGGATATGCAAAGGATACTCCATTCGTGTGCATGGAGCATCTTCTTGTCGTCCGTGTGTGTCAGATACAGGTTAAAAAGGCTGAGCATGCACGGCTGAGACAGAACATTCTCGGGACTTACATGGACAATGGAAGTTGACCACGCACGACTGAGCCAACAATATCACAACTTACCTGGACAGCAAAAGTTACCCAAACACGGCTGAGGCAACATTCTCACAACTGACCTGAACAGTAAATGAAGACCATGCATGACTGAGACAACATTCTCACAACTCACCTGGGCAGTAAAAGTTGACCATGCACGGTTGAGACTGAACGTTCTCATAGTCATTTCTGTCACAGTTGTCGCAGACTTTGGCCCTTGACCTCCAACCGGCCCCACAAGACACTGAGCAAGGTGACCACTCCTCCCACACAACCAGCTGTCTGCTGTCATCCTTTTGTACGTGATGGGGAAACTCGGTGTGATCTAGGAAGATAATCACAGCTGTTCAATATAATTTGTCCCTGACGTTCATTCTCACTTATTGTCATGAGCTGAAAAGCAGTTATTTAACTTTTTGAGTCCCAAAGAACGCATCATACGTTCATAGGTTGCCGCATAGAGGCCCAATGAACGCAAGATTCGCCGATTTTATATCTCTTTTGACTACCCCTTGGGTCTTTGATGCTAAACCCCCTGGGACTCAAAGAGTTAACAGCTCTGCCTTCTCCTCATTGAGGGCTAGCTCCAATGTACCGCTGCTGTCTTTGTGGATATGCCGGTATTGCAGGAAATCACGTGGATATACTGTCCGGGAATGCGAGTATAGAGGTGTGCGAGGGAATGAAAGAGCGGATCTTCTGTCTACACGAACACTCGTACTGGACAAGGGAGATACTCTAAAGACCATATATGAAAGAAAGTTGACACTGGCCGCGAGATTAGATCAAATAAAGCGTGCAAGTACGCGTGAACGAAGGGTGAATCCGGCATGGAGGGACGTATGAGAGGAATAGAACAACGTGTGTATATCAGTGTGCTATGGGAAAGGTTAGCATCTGCATCTTAAGACATCTGCTGCGGGAGACGGAGCATCTATGGGTACACCCAGTGTGCTTTCTTTTTCTTCTTCGCGTTAACCGGCTGTAAACTCTGGCGGAAAGATATGGTTGTTCGTCCACTTCTGGATTGCAGTCCTGTTCCAGAACCTGTTGATGTCGATTCTCAAATCAGTAATCTGTCTTTGGGAGTATAAGTAGTGTGGGCCACAATCTTCCTAGGCGTGACTCTCGTACCATAGGTCCGAAACCCCTTGAATGTGTATCCCCCCACCACCAATTTGTTTCTTCTTTAAACCGCCCACTGTGCGAATTCTAATATTCTAAAATCATGAAACTGTTAGCAGCACTCACTAGTCATTAAGCCACGGTGCTGCTGATTCTTATTTGAATAATAAATATGTTGTCTCTTTTGATATTTCAAAAATCAATTTGTTATATCTTCTTTGAGTTCGAAACTGTATCGAGTCGGGTGTTTTCTTCTTTAGGAATCACTTTTGGTTCCCAAGTCGCCCAACATATAATGGGTACCAAATCTATCAAGTGCTGACTGGATATACAAATTATCAATCTACAGTCATATCCCTGATGAGCTCGTGGAAAAGGGTCTTTTAATGTTATTTACTAATATTTCTTTTCTATATTAACATTGACAGCACCTGTTGGTTTTACTGTTTTATTATGACTATTGTCCCTAAATGGGACAGGTGTGTGTATGTGTGTGTTTGCGTGCGTATGTGTGTGTGTGTGAATATTAAATCCCTCACCCCGGGTGAACTTTAGGTTACGTAGTAACAGTCGGGTGCCCTAATAAAACCTTACGGTTGAACGGGGTTTATGAAATTTCACCTGGGGGAATCTCATCCGAGTAATAACGCGCTGCATGAGGGGCGTCGTAGGGTGTTGTTAACGACTCAGTGTGAGGTCCAAGTGGGGGTTTAGTTTCACTTCCTCACTTTTCCCGTGTGGGTTCCAGGGCCCCATTGTGGGGGAAAACAAGAATAGACCCACTGCCTGCCCAAAAGCATGTCGCAGGAGTCAACTAATTAATTGGGAGCTTCTTTCGAAGTCGGAGTACATCTGCATGAAAGGCAAGGAATCAAAAGTCTGCATGCAAATAAGCCGGACCGGTGAAACGGATGTGCGCGCAACACTCAGTTTCTGGAACAGGACTGGAGTCCAGATGTGGACAAAGAGCCGGAAATTTCCTCCGGAGAAGGTGACAGTGCTGAAAAAAGCCCCTGAAATGTTTGTGAAGGATTTTTCAGAAACCGATGGCGTCAGAGGGTTGCAGAATCAGAACAAAACTTCAGCTACGATCTAAATGGGCTTATCTGGAAGAAAGTGCCTGTGAGAATTGTATCAGTCAGGAGGAAATTACCAGGACACAATACGATGAAAAAACAGAATTTGTCTCGTTTCTGTCAATGTCAGTGGTGATCTGAGGAAAAAAACCTTTATTGTTTTATCATTTTGAAACTCCTAGTCTTTAAACAACCGAAAGGTACCTGAAACAAACCTAATTTTTTTTTATTATTACTATTGTTATTAGTCCCAGGAAGTGAAGGCGGCCGGCGTGATGCTGACCACATCACCCATCTTGTGCCGATTGGTCTATAAAAATATAGGTCTAGCCCTATATGCCCTATACGCCTGAAGGCGTGGAAAAGGACCCTTTACTTTTTTTAACTGTTATTATTATTATTATTATTATTATTATTATTATTATTATTATTATTATTATTATTATCATTATTGTTACTGTTGTTAATATGATATTATTATCTGCAAGGGGCCCTAAACATTAAATATGTAGCTAAGTACACAAAGCACTGGCTTCGTTGACAGTAAGGACGGATTCAAACCTCGTCTAACTGGTGCTGGCCAGAAGTCAGTGACTGTGGCAGCAGTGGTACTACTGGTCGTTGTTGTTCTTGCTGTTGTTGTTGATGTTGCTATAATGGCTGCAAAAGTGTTTGCCTTTGTTGTTACCAAACTTGTACATGGAATGCACTTGAAACGATTTTTCCCTGTCCTGATCTGTAACAGAACAATTCAAATAAGACACAGATGCAGCTGATTATCTGGAAAATGTACAAACTTATTGTTATCATGTAGCAGGTCCTTTGCAGAACGTCGCATTCATCACGGACGGTCTGCCCGAAAGGAACTCGGTCTCTCGCCAGCTCCCCCGTCTTATGCACTTTTATAGCCAAAGAGTCAATTTTATCCTGTAATACTCTTCGTGTTGGACGGCCCTTGCCCCTCTTTCCTGGCACCATGCCTTCTGCTATAATGTTTCCTTATCCGCCATGGCACTTGCTATGCTCCAAACCCCCCCCCCCCCCCCCCACCCCCACCCCCCCACCAAAGTTCAGATTCCAAGACAAGATGCTGTTTATTAGCCAATCTTCCTTTCTGTTCAGATCTTTAGGGTGTCAGTATTTCTTTTCTTATTTGTCCACAGTATTCTGATAATCTTTGTACAACATTTCAACTCAAAAGCCCACATTTTCTTCCTTAATGTCTGCGAGATAGTCCACGACTCACATCCGTATGCTGCTACAGACAAGATGCATGCTCTCAAAATTTTCACTTTGATGTCCTTGCTTGTGCTTAATTCATAGACTTTTAAAATCTTTGTATTGTTATGGCCGTCCGTTACTATGTATTATATAGCCTAGTTATTCAAATCTTATGACATTTTCAATTCCTTCATCATTTTTTTCGGGGGGGGGGGGGGGGGGGGGGGGGGGGGGGGGGGGGGGGGGGTCCGACAGCACACTTTGTCTGTAGACACTATTTTGCTTTGTAAATGTATGTATGTATGCATGCAATGCATGCATGCATGCATGCATGCATGCATGCATGCATGCATGCATGCATGCATACATACCTACATACATACATACATACATACATACATACATACATACATACATACATACATACATACATACATACATACATACATACATACATACAATACAAATACATACATACATACATACATACATACATACATACATACATACATAACATACATACATACATACATACAATACATACATACATACATACATACATACATACATACATACATACATACATACATGCATACATGCATACATACATACATACATACATACATACATACATACATACATACATACATACATACATACATACATACATACATACATAAATTCCCAGAGAATTTTCCAATTTATTAATATTATTGTGGGAATATTATCTCAGGCTTTTATTTATTCTAACTTGCTGTAGACTATTTAAGTTGAAAAAGCCTCAGCTTAAAATGCGTCCACTTTCACCTTTCATTAACACATATTTTTAAGTGTTCTGGGATTAGCTGGTATAATTTAAAACGACAGCGACCTCGGAACTTCATCTATCTTAGCGCTTCATCAAGTCCAAATCCAGTCCTGCATCTAGCTAATAGTTTATGATAACATCTTCTTTTCTAACATGGTGCTCAGCTTTCTAACATTTCCCTTTTAGGAATTCGCCGTTTTGCACCAAACTGTTTTCATCACTTGTTATGATACATTCTTTGAGTGAGGCTTGCGTACTTCTGATACGAGTGATATGTGGGAAACTGAAAACATTGCGACAATTCAAACACTACTGCCGGGCGGAGAACGCCAGCAAGAAGGTATACATCTGTACAAGTGGTAAAACATCAAGAAATATAATAACATCAGTTTATTTGCCATAAACTGCCTTTATTGCTGTATGCAACACTTTTAGGTGTAGGGCAGCGGTACTGAACCTGTGGGTCACGACCCTTTTGGGGGTCAAATAATCATTTCAATGGTCGCCTAAGACAATTGGAAAACACACATTCACTGAAGTTATGCCCTGCTCTCTAACGCAGTTGGCTAAACCGGACTGCGCGGTGACCGGGTGACGAACTCCTTGTGGTCCGGGTTCACGCCCGGGGGTAGGCAGAAAAGCCTACTTTCTCCCAGATTTACGGTGTTTATCATGGAATCGAG